CAATCGTGAAGTTACGCCGTCTCAGCTCAACAGCAGCCAATCAAAACAGGTTGTTATAAATGGGCAAGCTTTTATTCGGTGATTCCGCGATGGTGTAATGAAGGTCGCGTTCAAGCAGCTGATGTTAAATATTAAAGCAACATTTAAACAATAATGTAATGGTAGTCACTCTCTGAAGGATGTGGTGGTCCTGAATAGGTCCGTTTGTCTTGTACTAGTGTTCGCTCAGTGAGTAAAATGTGGGGTTCGAACGGGATTGAGACGGCAACACGACACTGTACTTTCCTAGTTTGGTTCATTAGTTTTGTATTCTTCAAGTTAATGATGGAGAAGAAGAATTTCCCCTTGATACTACCTTAAAATGCTTAGACAATAATGCTAAGATACGTACAGTCTTGTCTTTTTTGTGTACAACATTTTGGATCAAGGGTGTGGGTGTGTTTGTCTGTGGGTGGGGAATGGCCTAGGACCCCTTCTCTAAAATGGTAAAATAGTTCAAAAATGTTATGTGGAATAACTTACCAACGTAACACAAAGTAAACCAATTGAATTTAAAACCGAGAATATAAAAATGTATGTAACAGAGCTCAAACACACTTTTTAAATATTATAAAATTCACACGTTTCACATCAAGTATATAATTTATTGTTGTTTTCGAACCCCCTATTCAAAAGTGCTGGCTACGGGCCTGAAAATGTAATCAAAGTGAAGAATATTTTAATATTTATTTAATACAGTTTATTTCACTTTTTATAGTTTCAACGTGCTTTCATCTGAAACACACAGAACCTGAGACACATAACGGCTTATAAGAAACATACAAACCTATTTTTACACTTTACAGATAAAATAATATCTTTGTACAAATTACGGACGAAACAAGTCATTGAAAATGACAGTCCCCGTTAATTTTTTTGAAAGTTCTCTTTGTGCTCGTCATATTAAAGTGGAGGGGGTGTCGCGAGCATGTCCTTGAAACTTGAGTCCCAAGTGGTGTATACAACATATTGTTTATTTACATCAAAACACGTATTCCGTGTAGTAGTAATATGGCCAAAAAAAAACAGCCGTTATTCGGCCATCTTTGATCTGATTATGAAACACACTGATATGTATGATGTATGTGCCAAATACGAATGAAAATGTTACATAAATTGTGGAAATACAGTAGTAAGGCCAAAAAGTCAGATGGCTGTCAATCGGCCATCCTTGACCAGATTTTGAAACAAATTGTCATGGACATACTTCCTAACATGCTTCCTAATTTGCAAAGTACATGTATGTGCCAAAAATGAAAACTGACAGAGCACGTCCAAGATACCGTATATAAAAAAAAACAAGATGCCTGCCAGTCGACCATCTGTGATCCAATTGCGAAATAAATCGTCATGGACATGTATCCTAACATGTATAATATATGTACCAAGTTTGAATGACAACTGACAAAGCATGTCTAAAATACAACATTTACAAAAAACAAGATGGCTGCCAGTCGGCCATTTTGAATCGAATCGCTAAACCCTGCATGTGCATATGTCCCACATAAAGTACTAGGCACATGCAAAGAATGAACCGAATTGGTCATGGGATTCTGAGACTTGAATCCGGACGGACGCACGGACGGACGGAGACCGAATTATTAGTTCCCCGTTCGGACGAACTTGCCCATGTCTACGAATTTACGTTTTTTTTTATTTATTTACATTACATTATTACGAAAACAAAAACAATACATTACAGCTTACGAAAATACCCCTTGCCGATCCTCATACAAGTCAACTGAAAAAACTATAAAAGAACTTATACCTGTAAATCGTTCAGTTTCTTATTTCTGAATCTCCATCGGCAGGTAAAGAAGTTTCGGATTTCTTTAATGCATTATTACCCATCACTGAAGAGAATATTAAATTTGAAATTAATCCCACCAGTGAAAATTCTCCGAGTACAATAGTTTCTCAAGGTTTTCCACTAATTGCATTGACAGATCCTCCAGAGAAAATGGTTCTGGATAGGACACACTCTCACACAGTAGGCCCTAACCTGGAACCCATGAGGCAAGCGAAAGATGGGAAGGCTTAAGAACAGATGGAGAAGGGACACTGAGACAGAGATGAGGAGCATTAGTAGCAACTGGCACGACCTGAGAAGGAAGGCCCAGAGACGAGTGCAGTGGAGGATGATCATCGGTGGCCTATGCTCAGACTGGAACAAAGGGCCCAAGTAAGTAAGTAAGTAAGTAAGTAAGCATTGGTCAACGCAAATTAGAATTTAATTCTCAAGTGATTAGTTGATTTTCAAAGAAATAAAAAGTGTTAAAGAACTTGCTTTCCATCATTACAAAGCTTACATACACCGTCACCCTTATACCATTTCTATCTTACTTTATTCCCTTCCAAGTCTATTGCGTTTGACCTCACTGTCAGGAAGAGTGAGATGCTATGACGATTGTCATTGTTGAATTTGTTGCCATAGTGTTTTGGCGATTTCATGTCTTGAATAGTTTCATCAAAACGCTTTATTTCATTTTATTCACTAATTATACAGAAACTTTCAATCCGACAAACATTCTTTGGTGATCCATACCATCATAAATCAGTATATTGCTGATATATGTTGACCAGTCCCAAGTACTAAGTTTAGCCTGTTGATATAATATTCTGAGTGTAATTTTGAGAAAACTATTTGGGATTACCTTGTATTGATCATTTTTTATAATCTGTCCAAATACTATATTTACGATTTATTATGTAGTTGGTGTTTGGCCATCCTAAATCTCCTGGACACACCGCATTCGGTCATGAAAGGTAGTACTAAATACATTTGTAGAGTTGTCATGAAATTACAGTACTACCTTCCATGGTTCGATCAATACAAAGTGCGTGATCCTGATTTTGAGAAAATGACGTAGTAGTATTGTTTAAATTTATCCACTTTGTTTCAAGTCCAATATGGTTAACGAGCACTAGCATGAAGAGCGCCACCTTCGACGTACTATACTGAGTTCAGGAAACTGGTGGTACTAATACATGAGCTTCCCAAGACCGGACATCAGCTGTTTACCCAGTTCAAGCGTAAATTTAAAGGGCGGTGGTCGCCGCGCTGCGCATGTGCGACATTTGTGTTGATAAACATTGATTATTCTTTACAATCCAATGTGCTCTTCTAATGGAAAGCACAGGTATGGGGTTTAACCTGGGCGCGACCTGCACTAATCACCTAAAAATACCTAGTTAAAGATTGGTAACGTCTCAGTGTGTACTGGTGTATCTGCGCAACAGTCAAAGTCGCCATATTTTTGTAATATGAGACCCATATATCTCGCGCATGCGTAGCGCGATGACTACT